CCTCCTGCTGTTGTCATAAATACGCTTGCACACACACACACACACACACACACACACACACACACACACACACACACACACACACACACACACACACATACATACATACATACATACATACATACATACATACATACATACATACATACATACATACATACATACATACATACATACATACATACATACATTCATACATACATATATACATACATATGTGTATACATGTACGTGTCTGCGCGTGTATATAAGCGTGTCTGGCGTTTATGATTGATTATATATATGGCGATAGTTCTACCGTACTAGGTTAAGTTTGTACTGTGTTTGCATGCGCGTGAATGTGATGCCCTGTAAGGCAGAAGGACTCACGCGGTCTCTGTTTTACCATTACTCGGATGATGGATTGACTCGCACGAGCGACACATATACATGTAAAGTTGATGAATAATTTGCATGGCACGCGTCGTTCATCAGCTGCTCGTGCGTGCACTACGTATATACCAAGCTGCGCATGAAGGTAATGTTAAACACCATTACTGCTTTATGCGGCATATGCCTTCACCGAATGATATAGAAATCGCGTTTTTTTAATTGAAAGCAAAACGAGGCTATTTAAATTTTAAGTGGTGGCTCGGCGTTTAACAAATGGGAATTCAAGATTTCATGCGACTTTGTCGTATTGATGAATGTTCGCGCGTTTACCTTCGGCGTGTGTGTGTTCAGTGATCACGATGTGTTTCCACATGCAGCGCGAACAGAATCTATTACGTACCAGCATATACAGCGTGAATATTCTACATGGATCCAGCGGCGTCACTAGGGTTGGTGTCACACGGTGCGGTAACTTATGGTGTCACCACGTGGACCTCCTCCCGTACCAGACCATACAGAATCCTTTATAATGTTGTTGTACTAATGTTACTCGTATATCGTAATTCTCGTATATCACTGAATGTAATGGCAATAGTAATGATATAAACAACTAGCAAAATTAAAATTACAATATTATACGCACCGCCGTAATGTAGGGGCCTATTTATATTTTGGCATCACTCCGTTTGATGGTGTCACCCGGTAAGTTTCGCACCCGCGCACCCCCCTTGTGACGCCACTGCACGGGACCTCTGCTGTTTCATGATCGGTTTATTGTATAGATGTATTACAACCTGCTTATCGCGTGGCGTTTTGTTCGCATTACACGGATTCGTTTGTAGTTCGTAAATCATTGTCGGGTTTCATGAGCGCATGTGAATCCCCCTCACTCCGTTTATTTATCATGCAGCAATCCACCCGCGCATTTTTGTCGTGTTATGTCACGAGTACATGAATCGAGATATCTATTGCCGAACTCTTTGATTGTGTTGTGCGCGTAAATAGCACATAATAAACTGCGGTGATCATGATCAGTTCAAACATGGCCAAAAATATTCTTTATGAAACATCAGAACATATGTACGTACAATCAACCTTAATAATCTAACATGTTTGTGATCTACCATTCCGTATTTTGTAAATAATATAGCAAAGGCGTCGACATGCATGTATATAATATATATATAAATATATATATATATTTATTTATTTATTTATCACATGAATGGCTACGACATTTGACTCTGACAGCCGAATGTCGTTTGAAGAGCGTTCCTAATGAGCAACGCGAAGCATGCTTTGCCATCTTCATAGTTTATGTTAATTAGAATATGAGACGCGTCACGGGTCGGGTGCCACCTGCCGCGTCGCACGCATTCTAGTCTCGTGTGTAGCGCGTCATTTTGGAGGCTCGTGAAATGTACAGTGAATAATTGTGCTGTGAATATTTAATGAAATAAAAACGTCTATAATATAACGATAAATTAAAAATTGGCGACGGTTACGCAATTTTTTTTAAAGCCTTGTGTAATATTGTCGACATGAAAATTCACGTAATAAGACACATGACAACACAATGCACCGCGAGCCGGAAAATAACATATTTTTCAGCTAATTATTATGATAGCAGAAAATATAATTGAAAACCTCTCTGCGTACTATAATCTGAAGGTCGATGTGGCGGAGATTATTAATTATAGCAAAGATTAATTAAGCTGTAGCTCAGCGATATGGCACATGATATTAACTAATCAAAGCTAGTAGGGGGGGGGGACATAAGAAATATGGAAGATTTGGTCGGTAGAATCCGAGAAAAAAGAAGGCGTGGCCTTGTTTATGGCCCACAAGGTGTGGCCAGTGTACCTGATAGTGGAGGCAGCTATTGTGCAGTCAAACCATTTTTTTCAGATTATTACCTTCTAAATTCGGAAAGCGCCTAATGCATCGGAGCGTCATAGCAGCAGCGAAATACGGCATAAATTTCGCATGAATAAATATAGCCTCGTTCACACGAGACCTCGTATTTATGAAATACCGGATTTGCGAAATACCGAATCTGAGACAAATACGCGGCCATACGCGGCCGAGCGTTCACACGCTGATTCGCGGCTCCAGAAATACGGTATTTGCGAGCTGCGAGCTGCTTTAAACAATCAAGCGAACAATGCGGAACATGCCGAAATAAAACAATTGCAATGCGCCCCAATTCCGATAAAATACGTAGACTGTCCGCGCTGCCAGTTCACTCGCGTTACACTGCGAACTGTTCTGAGCGCGACAGGCTCTATAAAATACGCGCTCAGAATCCGGTATTTAGCGTTCACACGAGGAAATGGCGCGTCAGAAGCATCGGTGGCTAGTTTCTCCAAGCCACCGGCAATTATCCGGGGTCTGGGAAGTCGCGTATTTACATCAAATACCGAATCTGTTTAGGATACCGTATTTCTTGGACGCGCATCTTTGCCTCGTGTGACGCAAATATCCGGAGATTTCTTGCTACGTCGTGAACGCGGACCTATTGTTAGTGAACGCGAACTACGTTCCTTGTCTGCCAATGTCGGCAAAAACCTTTTCAAACGAAATGCCGCATGCCTCTCCACTATACGCCCGGTGCGGAAACAAGCGAGCCCGATCACCTGCTGCCAAAACAACTGTAAGGACATTTTTAGGAATGTGCTGGATATCTGAGTTCATAATAATAATAATAATAATAATAATAATAATAATAATAATAATGTTAATAACAGCACTACCCTTTTCTAATGCAAAAACTCATAAATTCGAAAGTGTCATATATGTACTATACGTCATAAGTACCCGGATAACTCTAATGTAATAATATGCACCAATCAGATGCGAATAAATTCTGTTGAGCTTTCCTAATAGCGCTCTTCGGCTATTAAAATATTACATGGTGTCAGAATAATTACGAAATTCACGCCTAAAATGGAACAATTTAAACCCTCATCTCAGCTCAATTTCGATGGGAATCTCGGAGAGAATTGGAAAACGTGGAGGCAGCGCTTCGAGCTTTACCTCACGGCGTCAGGTGCGGTAAGAAAAGATGGTGCTACGAAGATTGCTATACTACTCCACACGATCGGAGACAAAGGAATAAAAATTTACAATACCTTCACATATGAGGATCAAGAGGACAATGACAATCTTGATGTAGTTCTACAGAAATTCAATGAGTACTGTGAGCCAAGAAAAAAACACAGTTATAGAAAGGTACACGTTCTGGGAACGCTCCCAACGGCAACGGGAAGGGGAAACAATAGACCAATTCGTAACTGCCCTAAAAAATCACGCGAAAAACTGTGATTTCGACACACAAAGAGACAACATGATTCGTGACCGAATAATTTTCGGTGTGGCAGACTCCAGGCTCAAGGAACGGCTATTGAGAGACGCCGACAATCCTAAACTCGACAGGATCGTTGAGTTATGCAGGGCCGCCGAGGCGAGCGCTAGACAGTTCAGAGAAATAGAAAACGTTGCTACTACAAGTATTAATGCCGTATCGAGCAAGAGACAGAAATACCGTCAGCTCCAGGCTAAGTCCCAGACTGGGAAGTTTCACCACAAACCTAAGCCGCAAGCTGCATCAAAATTCAACTGTGGTAAGACACACGGCAAAAACGAATGTTCTGCGTACGGACAGGACTGTCATAACTGTAAGAAAAAAAATCACTTTGCTAATATGTGTCGTGGTGGTAGCAACCGGAAGCAATACGTGCACGGTCAAATTCACGCGTTGGAAGAAGATTTGCCAGCACAGACCCTCTTCATCTGGTCAGTGCATGTTGAGGTAGGACAAGTACAGAACACTAACGATGCATGGAGCACAGAACTTAAATTGGAATGCAGTAAGAAACCAAAAAATTGAAACAATTGAAATTCAAAATTGACACAGGTGCTGAAGCAAATGTGTTGCCCGAGAAACACTACGCGAAACTACACGTGAAACCGTGTCTCCGTAAGACACAAACCGTACTATCTGCGTATGGAGGGTTGAAACTTCAGCCACTGGGATGCATCTCTACCAAAATACGTGGCACAGACGTTGAGCTGTATGTAGTGAAAACTGACTCTGAACCAATACTAGGTCTCAAATCGTGTCAGAACTTGAAGCTCATTGCTAAGCTAGAAAGTGTGATAGAGGAGAAACCCCTCACAAGAGATAACGCCATGAAAGAATATGAGAATGTGTTTAAAGGGCTCGGAAAATTTGAGAGAACATATAAGATTGAGCTAGACCCCAGCATCAATCCAGTAGTTTACCCGCCCAGGAAGGTCCCCTTCAGCCTTCAACGGAAGCTGAAGGACACCCTGGACAGAATAGAGGCAGAAGGTGGCATAACCCCCGGTGAGGAGCCCACAGACTGGGTGAACAGTCTCGTGATAGTGGAGAAAAAGAACGGTTCTCTACGACTCTGCTTAGATGCGCGCGACTTGAACACGGTCATAAGGCGAAAACATTACAAAATACCGACGCCGGAAGACGTTGCTGCACAATTACATGGCAAGAAATTCTTCACGATCCTGGACGAGAAAGTCCCTATGCACGTTCAATACGCCGTATTCCCGATACCGGTTTCTGAGAATGCCTTTCGGTATCTGTTCAGCCAGTGAAGTATTCCAGAAGAGGAACCAACAAGTGTTCGGTGACGTGATAAATGTATGCATAATTGCCGACGACATGATTATGCCGCTGAAACCTCAGATGAGCATGACAAGATCGTGAGGAGAGTGCTGGAAAGGGCAAGAGAACAGAATGTGAAATTCAACCCAACCAAAATGCAATTCAAGGTGTATACAGTCGAGTACATAGAAAATGTGATCGGAGGGGCTCAAGCCGGATGAGCGGAAAGTGCGAGCCATAGCTGTCATGCCGACTCCGACCGACAAGCCAGCTCTCCAAAGTCTCTTAGGAATGGTCAACTACCTCGCGAAGTTTATTCCGAACATGGCCGAAATCACGGCACCGCTCAGAGATCTACTCAAGAAAGATAATGCATGGGTGTGGAACGCGACACATGAGAAAGCCCTTCAAGCCATCAAAGGCAAGTTGACCAGCGCACCCGTACTACACTACTATGATCAGAAAAAACCTGTGATAATTCAAGCCGATACATCACAGAATGGGCTTGGTGCATGCCAGCTGCAGGACAGTCCAATAGCCTATGTGTCTAGGTCACTGACGGCAGCAGAGTGTAACTGCGCTCAATTTGAAAAAAATCCACCAATACGTCTACGGGAGGCTGGTGGAAGTGCAATCCGATCACAAGCCGCTCACAGGAATTATCAAGAAACCCCTCGCGAAAGTGTCGCCGCGTTTGCAAAGAGTGCTGTTGAGACTGCAGCGATATGTGATCAGCATCACCTACGTACCCGGCAAATACATGTACATCGCCGTCACGCTGTCACGAGCATACCTGGATAGGGATAATGATAAGGACAGTGAACCCGATAAGGAAATGGATGTCCAAGTTCACTCATCCGTGGAAAACCTATTCTAGCAGAAGCGTGAGCAACTCAAGCATGAAACCGCGGGAGACCCGGAACTTCAGGAACTCAGGTCCACAATTCATGCTGGATGGCCGGCAGAGAAGGCTTCCAAGCACTTCCCGCCACGCGACCATAATTATTGAAACATACGTGACGAGGTTTACGAGGCAGGAGGACTGCTATTCTACGGGAAAAAACTCGAGAATGCCTCGAGAAATGCGCAAGGAAATGCTCAACACTGTGCATGAGTGTCACCTCGGAATGGAGAAATGCAAGGCCAGGGCGCGTAACACCATCTACTGGCCTGGAATGTCATCAGCAATTAAAATTTTTATATCAAGGTGCAAAACGTGCAACCGTTTCAAGAAGAGACAGCAGAAGGAACCGCTAATTCCACATGATTTACCAGACAGACCGTGGAAGAAACTCGGTATGGACTTGTTTGAGTATGGGGCAAAAGACTATCTTGTTGTAGTAGACTACTACTCCAAGTACCCAGAAATCAGCCTACACAAGAGAAAACCCGAGAGTGAGATGATCACGCATCTCTTGTCCATCCTCGCGAGACACGGGATACTGGAAACTATTGTGTCTGACAATCAACCGTTTAGCTCCCGTGAGTTCAAAGACTTTGCTAGGAAATGGGACAGTGAACTATGTACCTCAAGCCCAACCAACCCCCAGTCGAACGGACTCAGTGAACGGGCTGTGCAAACAGTTAAGAACATCATTAGAAAGTCAGCCGAGGAAGCGAGTGACCCATACATCGCGTTACTCGAATACCGTAATGCACACATTGCTGGAATGAATTACTCTCCCGCTCAACTGCTAATGAGCGGGACACTTCGATCAAGATTACCAGCAAAAAGTACATCGCTGATGCCAAGAATTGCAAAGGATGCATGTGGGCAGCTCAGAATGAGCAGGCACGCCTATATAACAAGCATGCAAAACCGTTAAGAGAGCTACAGACTGGTGATACCGTCAGGATCAGGACCCAGAAAACTTGGGAACAAGCTGTAGTACAACAGGAACACACGGCGCCAAGGTCCTACGTAGTACAAACACCCAACGGACTAGACCAACAACCAGACTTCTACAGGAGAAACAGAAAACACTCACTGAGGACATGCGAATCGAAACCTGTGATAACTGGTCCGAAACCCGATGAAATCCCGACAGCAGGAAGTTCGCTGGAGCACCATGAGCTCCCAGCACATGCCGAACGTACTGAACCGGCATGGCAGAGCACTACCTACACTAGTCATTCTGGGAGAATCATCAGGGAACCAAGTCGTTACAAAGACTACGTCAAATCGTGATTCTGTTCTGTGTGATTGAACTGGTGGTAAAGACCAGTTTCAACAGTGGGCTATATGTGCTAGCAACATCTAGCCCAGCTGCAGAGTTTGTCTGTTAGTGTTCAAAGTTGAATGATAATTGATGATTTCAAATCGCATTTTGATACAATCCAGAATTTTATTGTTCTTAACAATTCAGTGTTGCAAACATAGTTCTACATGGTACAATTAGATGTTGGTAAAATATTGGGTACTTGATTATTATTGTATAATTGACAATTCCATATATAATCGATAATT